GGGGGAAGCCAAGTGCTCCGGCCAGGTTGCTGCCAGTAACAGGGTGAGCACTGTACAGACTTATAGATTATATATAGTAAGTCATTATAATAGCGTTTGAAGGCAGGTTTGGATCCTAGAGAAAACAGTCACAATTGTGCTACTTCTGCAGCAGTAATTTCCCCATGGCTTTGGTTATGTTGATCTCCGTTCCTATTTCACAGAGCCCACAGCTACATACATTATATCCAAGTATATGTCTGAAACTCCATAACCTTTGCCAGAGTAACTCTCCAGGAAGCTCTCCTGACCTTTACTTAAGATAAAGAAACCAACTGAAATGAAGAAATAAATGTTCCTTTGATAATACTGTGTAAGCTGTGGCTAACAGCATTAATAAAATAGCTACATTAGGAGAATTTCTTTATCACCAAAAGCAGTGACCAGCTTCAATGGAGCTTTTCATTCACAGTTCACAAATTATTTTCCAAGAATCATTGACTTGTTGTGTAACGATAATTGTGGGTTAATAGAAGCCCTAACTGAACTTTGTACTCTTACACAAAGGACGTACACATACATGACTATATTTGGACACAGCTCCACATGTAGGATTACGTATCTGATTTTCAACTTATAGAATAGTTTTGGCTTTCATATTATAATTTAATTTAAAAAAAAAAAAAGAGTCTTTGAAGCCGGAGGTGAAAAAAAAAACCACCAACAACAACCTGTTACAAAGGGCAACTTTAAAAGTTTAAAAGTGACCATGATTGTTGGTTGGTATATGTACAGAAACTTCTAGAGAAAAATAAAAATAAATTGTTGCTGTGCAGGTATACTATCAGCGTCCAGGGGACGAAACCCCCCTTTTTTTTTTTTTCCTTCAAAATTTTTTTTTTAAATATTAAATTCTTCCTAAAACAGTTTCTAAATAACTGAAAAAAATCCACTAAAAGATTTATAAGAAAACTCAGCAAGTCTGAATTTGTTTTTTTGGGTTAAAGACTGTTTTAATGCAATTCTTTCTAATCTCACTAATTTTAATCCTAACATTTCAGTACATGAATGCTGTATTTAACAGCTATCTGGTTTAGTGAACTGCAGTAATTCACTCTGATAGGATAAATTATTTAAGTTGTTTAGCAAAATGGAAAAGCTACCATGCGCTCTGCTGCAATCGGCAGACACTGTTTAGAAGAGACCTCTGATGATGGAGAGAAACCTTGCCATGAGGAAGAAAGATGCAGAAAGAAGCTCCAAGAAGTCTGTGACTTTGTCAGATAATGTTTCTCATGCCATTTCTTTACTACGCCCTTGCAACCACCCAAAACCACAGAACAGCAGGTACAGCGAAGGGGAGCCAGCGTTTAACAGAATAGTAGCACTTTAGCAGGCAAAGGCAAGATTTGAGGGGTACAGGCTTAAAAAAAAAAAATAAGTTTGGGCACATGTTAAGTAAAGTAGCAAACAATGCAAAGCATCCAGCTTAACATAACTCCTGCTTCCTCCCATTAATTCAAAGGGAAATTTCATTTGAGCAACAAAACGTCACATGCTAAGACAACTTAAAAATGCTTCAGCAGTGGCTATATTTGATGTATTATGTGGAGAATTTTATTTATTTATTTATACACAAAACGCACCGAGCAGCCCGATTTCTGCTCAGCAGAGCTGCCTCCTATGTCCCACAGTATCTGATCCGTACTGGCTCAACACGCTCCTCTCCTCACTCTACGGACAGAGAAACTCCCTCCACCTCCACAATGTGAGTTTTTCCTTGCTTCCCTGGGGCTGGGTGGGTGGGAATTACAGGAGAGGGCCCCCTGCTAAAGGTTATACCTTCAGCCCAAACAATTTCTTTTGGCTGTACATCAAAATGCCACTTGCTTTATCTATTCACTGCGCTGATGTCACTGACCAGCGAAAGGAGCTATCACATGACTGCAGATGACACAATAAATAACAAATATGAAGACCCAAATATAAATATACAATACATATTTTTAAGAAAGTGATGATTCATACTATACTTACAACTTTCAGCCTGATAGTCTGGCACAAACTGCTCGTCATTGTCAGGTACCTGAGCTGAAGAAAGGAAAACAAAAACAAAAAAAAACCAAACAAAAAAACAAAAACAAGGAAAGAATTAAAAGAAGCCAGTAAAGCATAAATAAAGACTCTTGTGCTTAATTTGAAGCACAGCCAAGATTAAAACTCGGATTTTTTTTTTCATTGTTGGGTATGAAAATCAGGCAAGCGCATCATTTTAATATGAGATAAACCCTGGGGTGAAGCTGTGCGGTGCAGGGCGAGTCCAGAGCAGCCCCAGTACACAGCAATGGGGATGGGAGGACGTGAAAACTGACGCTGGCACTGGCCCTGCCTCACTCCCTGCACGAGAGTCTGGACCTACCATGCCACTGGTAAAACCCATCAGCGCTCATTTTCAACATATCTGCACGGAAAGTCTGCATAAAAGCAAATCCTAGTGTTTAACACTTAAGCATTTTTAACCCCGAACTACCACACCTTCGGCTCACTTAAAAGCGATTCCAATTTTTCATTGCAGTCAGCCAACACAGTAGGGGGTTTTTATTACTGTTTTAAATACTCAAAAAAGAACTATTTTACCAGACCACAGAATTCCTGGTTCAATGACGAAATTTCAGACATCAAAAAAAAAAAGATTTACTTAAAGCAAGAATCATTATTAACATCCATTCACCTTGTGTAAGACCATCTTTGCTTTTAGGAAACTTTCATCACAAACCTGAGCTACAAAATACAATCGTTTCACAGTCTACTGATACATAATTTTGCATCTGTGGTACCTCAGTTCCTTTTCATTGGATATCTAAGACATTAGCCATCTCTCATACTGTGTTGTACACTCATTTAAACCATTTAAGCTGAAATACCACTGAACGTATATTATAGGTGAATACATTCAAAGAACTGCGGAACATTACGCTGAGAAGCAGCATCCTCGGAGAACGACTGGTTCTGGGTACATCCCAAGAGAGATCCAGCTTAACGTCCCTGAACTTTGCCATCTTGTCCTCAACATACACTAACTAGAATCATCACAGCAAAGCTGCATAAAATTATCTGTTTGAAAATATTTCAATTTACACAGTTCTTGTCTAACCACGAGCAAATAATTCACATGATCTTAATTAAAAGTTAACATCTGCCATGATCTGGTTACCCAACAAGATCTGAGAGGTAAATACTGGTTACATAATCATTTATCGAAACAGTGACTATCACACCATTAAATACGTTAAATGGTAAAATACAACTTTATTGCCATTCAGAACACTTTCTAAGTTTAGGAAGCATACGTTCCCCTTTATATATGTGCAATTTCTACTAGTTTTAACAGAATTCGTTTGAATTAAAAATACATATTTGATTATAATTACTCACAATTATTTTGAATGTGCACTACAGTACTCTTCACGGACCAGATCTCCACTCCTTACTCAAGAAATATTTCTAATGACTTAACTGAGAATTTTTTTCCTGGGTAAAAGAGTTCAGATCATGCTCATTATACCAAAAAATTATTTGCTCTCGGTTTTAAAATAAATGTTTAAAGTCCTACTGTCTTAATTGCAGCAAATACCCCTTTAGAACAAATGACCTTGGGAAATCTGCAAACACGGATTTGAAAAGAAGTGTGAGTAAGAGAAATACATGAAGTGTCATTAGCATTACTCCGAAAAAAAGCATAGCTATTGTTGCTTTGTTGTTCTTTTTTTTAATAACCTATCTTTTTAGAAGAAACCAGTACCTCTGAGGACATGTTAGCTCCTCAAAGTTTGAAGCTGTATAAAACACGTATTTTAACCAAACCAAATATTCCCAGAATTTTTGAGGCATTATTTTTTTCTTTCCTCCAGAGAAATCACAGGACTTTTACCAGAAATGAACTCAGGGACAATATGAGCCCAAATACTAACACTCTGCAATTTCTGACATTTCATGCAATTGACTGCATGTGAATGTTGGGTATTTTCCTTACAAAAATGCCAAATATTTGACTGTCACAGAAGAATCCAATTATGAAATCAAGGTATCCTACTTAAAAATCAGTTCCTAAGGATTTCTAACATTTCCAATTGTTTTTGAAGGGTTTGTGGGTACATTCAGAGGTAAAGCAATTATATCAAGTAATTTCTTGTTTACAGAAGACACATCCCACACATTTTTCTTAAGCCAGCTATCATTTTCAAATGCAGCAAGGAGGCTAGTATGACTCTAATTTTTTATGCACACACATGCATTTTTAATATATACATACATATGTGTATGTATGTATGTTAATTTGTGAATCCGGGATATCTGAAAAAGGCTAAAAGAAAACAAAAACCCTCCTGTTGAAATAGGGAGGCCACATTTAGTGATTGCAAAACTGGGACAGCAATCTTACGTAACTTTCTAGAGCGCACTCTGCGCACTGGACTGCTTTACTGATGCTTTATTCTGGTTATATCAGTTTAACTTGACTTACTCCAGAACAAATCTGTTGTAGAGATATATATGTATATATCAGTAAATGAGGTCCTTTTTTTTCCAGCCAAAGAGCAAGAAAAAATAAAATACATCTGGTTGAATTGTCACTTTAGAGATACTGTCATTACCCCTAATTTGGTCTGGAGTAAACAAGAAAAATATACTTCAATCATGGATCCCCAAAATTATGAAGGCATATCCAATAGAGATCAAGGCGCATCACTTTATCAGTACTCTAGAAATAGGTGGAGACTATGCCGTCAAAATGTATTTTAAATACAATATTGACATAGCCTTAAAAGCCTCTGTAGGAAAAGGAATACAGCAAGTTAAGAAGTGTTTAAAACCCTGCCAAATATAAACAAAACAAATAACAACATCCAGAATGTTCAACCCAGGAACATACATTTCCTACTGGAATCTAATTTTAGTAGCATCAGTACCTTAGAAACGAGCCCACAAGCCTATACAAAGAAATTAAAAGGACCCACTAACTGTTGGAAGTGAGAACTTAAATTATTCCTTTGTTTAATCTGATATTATTTTTAAACTAGCAGAACTGAAACTCGGACACGATCATACTGCAGAAATGCAAGCAACCATCATCAGCCCAATACGTAGACTTCTTCCACCAGCCTCTTGCTGTGAGAGGGCATATCGTTGGGATACATCATCCCATTACACAAAGAGAAGAGGGCTTTCTAAATTATTCCTTTGTTTAATCTGATATTATTTTTAAACTAGCAGAACTGAAACTCGGACACGATCATACTGCAGAAATGCAAGCAACCATCATCAGCCCAATACGTAGACTTCTTCCACCAGCCTCTTGCTGTGAGAGGGCATATCGTTGGGATACATCATCCCATTACACAAAGAGAAGAGGGCTTTCGTACCTTGAGTTTGGGTAATTACAGGCAGACTTTGTAGCAAATTAAACAGACAGGTAAAGACACTTCAACCTGAATGTCCGAAAGGAAAATGTAACTTGCAGTGTTGCAACTGTCTCACATTTATATGCGTATGCCATTCATTTCCTCTTTTCTTTTATTCACAAAAACTGCAATTCAGCAAGGCTGCATAAAATCTTCATTGGTCTTCTGTTAACATACTCAACACAAGACACAATGCATAAATCACCAAAACTTTTTTTTTTTCCACTTTGCCATTCAGAGGAAAATTGAAAAAGGTATCTGAAATGATCGTCTAACTGAATGAGAATATTTCCCTGAGCTACTTAATTATGGGGGTTTGAGAAGGCAAGTATATTCCAAAAGACTAATAAAAGGTTTTGAAGGATATTAAGCACGTGGCTTTTACTGCTAATAGCAGAAGCAGCTACATTAGTTCATTCCACATTCAGAGCCATCAAGTCTCAAACTCCTGAAGCAGACAACATCTGCAGCATAAGCTATCCAGCTCAGTCCAGGTTATTACCAAAAGCTTTCTTTTTCTTCTGATTATAGCTATAATGTCTCAAGAGGATTTGGGAAGTGTACAGAAATGTTAATGATGATCTTGAGGATGTTATCAGTTTAGATTTTACAGTTTCACTACCTACTGAGTTAAAATCAGTTTGCCAAAAGCAAACATTCACAGCACAAAAATACTTAATACTTGTTTGTAGCTTTTAGAGCTTTAAAAAGCCTTTGAAAAGTTGAACTGACAGCTCATTTTGCAAAGGGAAAGCAATCTGGAAAAAAAAAAGTTTAAAACGAGGGCCTGTTAGCTTGCTTTCATTGCAAGTAAACAAAAATAAAAAGTCCCCATTAACAAGCATCCAGGACAAAAGGAGTTAATATTTAATTAAAACCAGCTCTATCCACTGTAACAATGACCTGGAGCCAAACAAGGCAGAAGATGTATGAGTCATTCTTTCTGCCAGTGAATGAGACAGCTGATCTCCGAAGCAATTCCTCAAGACAAGCAGTCAGAACTGGAGTTCTGCCTCCATTCACAAAAACACAGTCCAGCATGAACCATGTGGCCCCAACCACAAGCTTTTCATGTCACACCCTTCCAGAAAGCTACAGCAAAGTAAACTTGAACTTTAGGCATAAACACACTGATTTCACTGCTTTGTCTCAAGATGCAGCACAGACCTGCTGAGGAACGTATTTAATAAATGAAAAGTTAAGCGAACTATACAGGGCTCAAATTTAACTCTTCCTTCTCCCAATCACAAACTGCTTCCAAAAGCTCAGCTGCACTCAAGGGAAAGGTGTTCCTGTTAAAAAACGGAAACTTTCCAGAAAAACAAGAAGCTGCAAACCTCCTTGCTTCACTTAAAACTTTATTTTGGGTAGCAGAACACTTCCTGTGTTACTGTGTTCTCTGACCTCAAGCTTCACTTTTAGAGCTAAGAGCAATTCGTTTTAAAATATCAATGATTTATTCAAAGTGGCAAAAGAAATTGAAATTGACAGGGAATTATATATGAACGGTAGTATTTTGGCTTCAGCTAAAATAAGACTTCAGGTCTCAACAGTAATGAGTCTATTGAATTTTCTTTGATTCATTGTTACTTCTGAGTATCTGAAAGATTGTATAAATTTTAAGTATTCCTG